GAGGCTTAGGTGGGAGGATCACTTGAGCCCAGGAGTATGAGACCAGCCTGGCCAACATAGCAAGATGCCATCTCTACACAAAATTAAAGAGTTAGCTAGGTGTGGTGATGCACACCTGTAGCCCCAGCTATTCAGGAAGCTGAGGCAGGAGGATCACCTGGGTCTGGGCTGTGGTGGCTGCAGTGAGCTATGATCACACCACTGCACTCCAGCCTGAGTGACAGAGTCAGACACTGTCTCTAGAAACCAAACAGGTTGGGCGTATTGGCTCACACCTGTAAGGCCAGCACTTTGGAAGGCCAAGGCAGGCAGATCACATGAGTTTGAGACCAGCCTGGCCAACATGGCAAAACCTCATCTCTACTAAAAATACAAAAATTCGCCGGGCGTGGTGGTGTATGTCTATAATCTCAGTTACTGGGGAGGCCGAGGCACAAGAATCACTTGAACCCAGGAGGCAGAGGTCGCAGCGAGCCAAGATGGTGCCACTGCATTCCAGCCTGGATGACAGAGTGAGACTTTGTCTCAAACATAAAATAAAATAAATAAAAATAAAAACAAAACAAAAAGCCTCCTAGAAAAAGACTCAAGGGAAAGCCCACAGTGGACCCCAAACGAGTTTGAGGCTTCTTAACAGAACCCACCCACCACAGCCCCAACAAGGGTCCTCTCCCCTAACAAGGCAGCCAGGCAGACACAGGGCAGGAGTATCTGTGACACTGAGGGGGCACCACCCTCAGCCTCCTTTCCTGATCGAGGAGATTCCTGCTTTCCAGAAACATCTCTCAGGGCCACTAGGCACAGGCGAAGCCCCGTCTGCAGCCCACAGGCTGGGGGTCCCATCGGAACTCAGTGGGAGGTGGAAGGAAGGTTTGTTTCTGAACCAGCTGTCTGCTTTTTCCTCACTCCAGCTTCAGCCGGATGATCTTGGAGAAGCAGAAGGCAGAGGAGAAGGAGAGGGAAGCCCTGGAAGCCGAAAGAGCAGGCGCTGAGGAGGGCGGGCTGGGTCAGGCGGCCGGCGGGCAGCAGGTAGCTGAGCAGGGGCCAGAGCCGGCAGAGGATGGCAGGCACCTGGCATCAGAGCCTGAGGTGTGGCCAAGTGACAGGTCCCCGCCAGAGCACTCCTCACCTGAGAAGGAGGCCCCAAGCCCAGAGAAGACTCTCCCGCCCCAGAAAACCGTGGCCGCTGAAAGTCACGAGAAAGTCCCCAGCAGCCGGGAGAAGCGTGAGTCGCGTCGGCAAAGAGGGCTGGAGCACGTCAAGTTCCAGAACAAACACATTCAGTCCTGCAAGGAGGAGAGCGCCCTCAGAGAACCTTCCAGAATGGTCACCCAGGAGCAAGGGGTGAGTCTCCTGGAAGACAAAAAGGAGAGCAGAGAAGATGAAACCCTTCTAATCGTAGAGACGGAGGCTGAGAACACGTCCCAAAAGCAGCCCACAGAGCAACCCGAGGCCATGGCAGTTGGCAAGGTCTCTGAAGAAACCGAGAAGATGCTGCCGGCTGGGAGCCCCAGGTCCGGCCAGGTGGAGCGGCCGACCAGCCTGGCCTTGGACAGCAGGATCAGCCCACCAGCCCCCGGCAGCACCCCCGAGACCCCCGAGGACAAGAGCAAACCTTGTGGCAGCCCAAGGGTTCAGGAAAAGCCCGACAGCCCCGGAGGCTCCACACAGATCCAGCGGTACCTGGACTCCGAGCGGCTAGCCAGCGCCGTGGAGCTGTGGCGGGGCAAAAAGCTGGTGGCCGCCGCCAGCCCTAGTGCCATGCTCAGCCAGTCCCTGGACCTCAGCGACAGACACCGGGCCACAGGGGCAGCCCTCACGCCCACAGAGTAAGCCCCACACCCTCTTCTGTCTGAGCACCAGGGTCCAGGCCAGGTGGGCAAGGCCAGGGGCAGTACCACACATCCTGGAAACACGTGTGTGATCATGCCCAGTGGGTGTGCGGAAGCCCTGAGGGAGGAGGACAAGCAGGGCATGCTAAAGGCCAAGTGAAAACAAGGCACCCAGCCAGGGCCCAGGCTGGGACCCGGAGCCTTGAGGGGTCCCCAGAAGGAGCTGTGCTCATATAGAAAGGTCCTGGCTTTGAGGGAGGTGGCTCCTCAGGTCAAGGTCCCTGCTCCCCAGCAATCTTGGGCCTTGGTTTCTAATTGGTGAACAGGACTAACTATACTCCTTGGGGTTAAAAGAGCAGGGGCTCGCTCTGCCTGAGCCTTAGTAAGCCAAGTGTCGGTGGCTTGGAATCTCCAGCTCCCTCTTCCAGAGGGCCTGCAGGACCAAAGGAAAGCAGTCAGGCAGGAGACAGGCCTTCCCTGCAGCAGGCCTGCTCAGCCTCCCACTGCTTGTATTGGGGGCCGGATCATTCTCTGCAGTGGGGCTGTCCTGTGTATCATAGGATGTTGAGCAGCATCCCTGGCCTCCACTTACCACGTGCCAGGAGTATCATAAATAGATGATGGATGGAGTGAGGGAGAGAGAAAGGGAAGGATGTGTGGATGGGTGGGTGAGTGGATGGATGGATGGATGGATAATAGAGATGATGGAGGGATGGATGGAAGGAAGATAGAGATGATGGAGGGATGGATGGATGGAAAATGGATAGAGGCGATGGAAGACAGATACAGATGATGGATGAAGGGATAGATAGATAGAAAACAGGTAGTAATGATGGATAGAGGCATGGATAGATAGATGGATGGATGGTACAGATGATGGATGGATAGAAGATGGGTAGAGATTAGGCTGGGCGCGATGGCTCACGCCTGTAATCCCAGCACTTTGGGAGGCCGAGAGTTTGAGAGGAGTTCGAGACCAGCCTGGCCAACATGATGAAACTCTGTCTCTACTAAAAATACAAAAATTAGCTGGGCGTAGTGGCACATGCCTGTAATCCCAGCTACTCGGGAGGCTGAGACAGGAGAATCGCTTAAACCTGGGAAGCGGAGGTTGCAGTGAGCTGAGATCAAGCCACTGCACTCCAACCTGTGTGACGGAGATGAGACTCCATCTGAAAAAAAAAAAAAAAGATGGGTAGAGATTATGGATGGAAGCAAGATAGATGCCAATGATAGATGGATGGAAGGAAGATAGGTAGAGACGATGAATGGAGGGACGGAAGATAGGTAGAGATGATGGATGGATGGATGGATGGACAGACAGAAGGATGGGTAGATGGCTAGAAGATAGAGAGCTGATGGATGGAGGGATGGAGAGAAGATAGGTAGACATTATGGATGGAAGATAGAGATGATGGAGGAATGGATGGGTAGAAGATAAGTAGAGCCGGGTGTGGTGGCTCACACCTAGAATCCCAGGCCGAGCCGGATGGATCACCTGAGGTCAGGAATTTGAGACCAGCCTGGCCAACGTGGCAAAACCCCACGTCTCTACTAAAAATACAAAAATTAGCTGGACGTGTTGGCGCATGCCTGTAATCCCAGCTACTCGCGAGGCTGAGGCAGGAGAATCACTTGAACCTGGGAGGCGGAGGTTGCAGTGAGCCGAGATCACGCCATTGCACTCCAACCTGAGCAAACAAGAGCAAAACTCCATCTAAAAAAATAAAAATAAAATAAAGATAGGTAGAGATGATAGATGAAGAGATAGATGGAAGACAGATAAAGAGGATGGATGGGTGGAAGGTAGAGACAATGAGTAGAAGGATGGATGGATAGATAGATAATTAGTAGAAGGATGGATGGATAGATAGACAATTAGTAGAAGGATGGACGGATGGATAGATAGACAATGAGTAGAAGGATGGATGGATGGATAGATAGATTAGATAGACAATTAGTAGAAGGATGGATGGATGGATGGATAGATAATGAGTAGAAGGATGGATGGATGGATGGATAGATAGATAGATAGATAGATAGATAGATAGATAGATAGATAGATAGGCAGGCAGACAGGCTCTCTTGGGCTAAGGCAAGGTTTCCTACCCTTCACACTCAACATCTGGGGCCGGACCACTCTGGAGTGGAGACCATTCTCTGTCGGGTATTGAGTAGCATCCCTGCCCTCTACTCACCAGATGCCAGAAGTACCCACCCACTCCTTTCCCCCCACCTCAGTGGTGACAACCAAAACTCTCTAGACATTGCCAAGTGTCCCCTGGCAGGGTCACAACTGCCCAAGGGTCACAACTGCCTAAGAACCACTGAGACAAGAGAATGCCACTGACTCGCTCTAGTCAGTAAAAGCCATGTTTCTGTGATCTCACAGGGAGAGGCGCATCTCCTTCTCCACGAGCGATGTCTCCAAGCTCCTCCCATCCCCGGCCAAGGCTCAGGTAACAACAACGTGGTGAAACCCCATCTCTACTAAAAATACAAAAAATAGCCAGGTGTGGTGGCGCGTGCCTGTAACCCCAGCTACTCTGGAGGCTGAGGCAAGAGAATCGCTTGAACCCGATGGCAGAGTGGAGGTTGTAGTGAGCTGAGACCAAGCCACTGCACTCCAGCCTGGGCAACAGAGTGAGACTCTGTCTCAAAGAAAAAAAAAAAAAAAGCGGGAAGTGAGGTGGGTGGATGGAGTGTAAATGCCTGCAGGGGCTTCACCATCTAGTACAGGCCTGCCAGCCTTTCCTTAGCAGCCCTCCCCGCACCATCTTGCAGCCTGCAACAGAAACCGCGGACGGAGAGCGAAGCATGAAGAAGCCGGCTGTCCAGAAGAAGAAGCCAGGTGACGCATCCTCCATCCCAGACGCAGGGCTGTCCCCGGGCTCTCAGGTCGACTCTAAGTAAGTATGGGGCTTGGGGGAAACTCAGGCCACCAGAGGATGCCCGGGGTCCCTGCCAGGGCCTCGCAGCATTGTGGCCTCCTAAACCAATCATATTTACAAAGCACGTTCGCGAAGGCATTTGCTCAGTAGAAACTGCATGAGGCAGCCAGGCGTGGTGGCTCACGCCTGTAATCCCAGCAGTTTGAGAGGCCGAGACGGATGGATCACTTGAGGTCAGGAGTTGGAGACCAGCCAGGCCAACATGGTGAAACCCCATCTCTACTAAAAATACAAAAATTAGTTGGGCATGATTGCACACACCTATAATCCCAGCCACTCGGAAGGCTGAGGCAGGAGAATCGCTTGAACTCGGGAGGTGGAGGTTGCAGTGAGCCGAGATCACACCACTGCACTCCAGCCTGGGTGACGGAGGAAGACTCCATCTCGGGAAAAAAAAAAAAAGCTGGCCGGGCGTGGTGGCTCAAGCCGGTAATCCCAGCACTTTGGGAGGCCGAGACGGGCGGATCACGAGGTCAGGAGATCGAGACCATCCTGGCTA